AGGGCTCCTCAGGAACACCGGAGGGCTCCTCAGGAACACCGGATGGCTTCTCAGGAACACTGGGATGGTTCCTCAGGAACACCGGGAGGGCTCCTCAGGAACACTGGATGGTTCCTCAAGAGCACTGGGATGGCTCCTCAGGAACACTGGGATGGTTCCTCAGGAACACCGGATGGCTCCTCAGGAACACCGAGATAGCTTCTCACAAACACTGGGATGGTTCCTCAGGAACACTGGATGGCTCCTCAGGAACACCAGGATAGCTTCTCACAAACACTGGGATGGCTCCTCAGGAACATCGGGTTGGCTCCACACCAACATCAGGGATAGCTCCACAGGAACACCAGAATGTCGGGATGGCTCCACACAAACATTGGGATGGCTCCTCCCAAACCTGAGCAGGGCCAGGAAACAGCGACAGCAGTGAGCCACAACTGCTCCTCCCCAAGTTGTGCCTCTGGTGCCCAGCAGCAGGAAAGGGCAAGGAAACTCAGCTGCAGGTGGGACTCTCCTCCTCCTCCTTCCCACCAAACCAGTCTGGAATTCCATGGCATGAGACTGCCCCCAGTGTCCATGGGATGTGGAGATGCTGCTCATGTTGGAGGCTAGTGGGGCATGGAACTCCAAAGAAGCCTTGGAGCACACACTGAAGTTCATCCCAGTCCTGGATCTCTTTTCCCAACCTGGATTTGTTTTCCCAGCCTGGATTTGTTTTCCCAACCTGGATGTCTTTTCCCAACCTGGATCTCTTTTCCCAACCTGGATCTCTTTTCCCAACTTGGATCTGTTTTTCCAACCTGGATCTGTTTTCCCAACCTGGATTTGTTTTCCCAACCTGGATCTCTTTTCCCAACTTGGATCTGTTTTCCCAACCCGGATCTCTTTTCCCAACCTGGATCTCTTTTCCCAACCTGGATCTGTTTTCCCAACCCGGATCTGTTTTCCCAACCTGGATCTCTTTTCCCAACTTGGATGTTTTTCCAACCTGGATCTGTTTTCCCAACCCAGATCTGTTTTCCCAACCTGGATCTCTTTTCCCAACCCGGATCTGTTTTCCCAATTTGGATCTGTTTTCCCAACCCGGATCTCTTTTCCCAACTTGGATCTCTTTTCCCAACTTGGATCTCTTTTCCCAACCTGGATCTCTTTTCCCAACCCAGATCTGTTTTCCCAACCTGGATCTCTTTTCCCAACCCGGATCTCTTTTCCCAACCCTATCTAACACACCTTAACCTGAGCAGGGTTCAAGTGGCAGCTGAAACAGAAGGCTTTGAACTGGGCCTTAAACCCCATCTCATTCCACCACCTGCCAGGAGCAGGGACACTTCCACAGCCTGGGGTGCTCCTGCTAATCCGACCCAGGGGTTGGGGTGCACAGGACCCCTAAAATCAACCCCGAGCTAAAATAACAAACACTTTTCCCTTGGAGTCCCACTCCAAAGCCGAAGCAGAACCAGGACATCATTCCCAAGGTTTCTCCGCTCCTCAGTTTCCCCATTCCCTCTCCCTCAGCCTGGTGCTGTGGGAAGCTCTGGGAATTCAGCACAGAGCAGGTTCTGGATGTTTGGCTGACAGAGTCCCCCAGCACCCAGCAGGGCCTTGGGATAAGGGGCATCCCAGGAAAACCTGAAAGGCAAACAAAGAAGAGCAGCACGGGGAGCCCTGAGATGGAAACTGGTCACATTCAATCTGGGCAAGCAAAGAGCTCCACTGGGTATGAATAATTCACAAACAGCCTCAGACAAATGATCTCAGGTCCTGAAGGAAATGGGAAAACCTCTGGAGGCTGCAGCTCTTTTTATTCCTGCCTGCTTCCTGCTGAATGCTGTTTTCTCTGGGGTTATTTTTTAGTCTTTAAAAAAAAATATATATATATGGATATCTAAGCAGTTAGCCTGCATGTTCAGAGAACACAGCAGACCCCAGAGAAATCCTTTCATTTTATTTTCATCTCTGGCTGCTGAATTATTCATTAACAGGGATCACGCAATGGGGGGAAAATTAAAAATTGGCAAATTAGTTTTCATTTGTTGATGTTAATTATTTAGTGTTCTTCCCTTTTATTAGTGGAAACACAGAGGGGGATTAGTCTTGTTCTGGCACTCCGAGTTTGCTCCCCAGACAACTCCCAAATTAGCATTGCTGTGGCTACTTCTGTGGAAAATCCGTGAGAATGTGACTCCAGGGCTGAGATGCTGGGGCAGAGCTGGATTTCAGAATTCCAGAGAAACTTCTGGATATTTTTCCACAGCACTTTGTAAAAAAAACAGGCAGGTGAGGCTTTATTTCCAGATATCACCCCAGCCACGGCATTAATGGAGATTCCATTAATTAATCCCCCTGAGCTCAGCCACAAGCACC